CGAACACGACCAGGAGGAGGGGGGAGCAAGGAGGAGGAGGATGAGGAGGAGGAGGAGGAAAGGGAGGAGGAAAGGGAGGAGGAGGAAAAGGATGATGATGATAATGATGATAATGATGATGATGATGATGATGATGATGAGGAGGAGGAGGAGGAGGAGGAGGAGGAGGAGGAGGAGGAGGGGGAGGAGGAGGAGGAGGAGGAGGAGGAGGAGGAGGGGGAGGAGGAGGAGGAGGAGGAGGAGGAGGAGGAGGAGGAGGAGGAGGTGGTTGACTGAGGATGGTGGACCAAGGATGTCGGACGTGTTTGCCCTCTTGCTGGGCCCTCTGGCACGGCCACGTCGCCACGGCTGGATTCCGCTCGAACTCCTGGCCAAAACACAGCTCGAGACTCGCCCAGGGAATGCTCGATCTGACGTCCTGGCGGTCTTCGGCTTCCGCTCGAGGGATTTTTTGGTCCGGCGGGCGTTGACCGAGCGAGCGGGCGCCGACGCGCCGTGCCCAGGACAGGCCACCTGCACCGGCCCCCACGACCCCGGCCAGCACAGGGGAGTGCGCGGCAGCGGGGTGGTGGGGGGCGTTGCCTCCGCGAGCGTCATAGGCAACGCTCACCTCAGACCAGGAGGTGCCACTGACCACTCTGTACACCCTAGCTGAGCGGGTGGGCCCAGGCAGCACGGCTTGCCCACCGTGGCGGGTACTATGAAAATTCCCTGGCCTGATAGCCTTCCGCTCGAAGGAGCAGCCCAGACCCCTGGCGCGGCCGCCGCGGCCCCCCTTCCAGTGAGACCGTCGGGGCGGGATTGCGGATCTCGCCCTTCTCCTCCTTGTGTGGGTGCGGTGTCGTGCCTCCTCGTCCGCCGCCTTCCTCCCTCTCCTCGTGGTGCTTTTGCTCTCGCTCCTCTTCATCTGCCCCCTCGGGCTCCTCACCCATCAGCGTCGACATCGCCGCCATCGTTATCAATGCAGCCGTCGTTCTCCTCCGCCTCCGCCTTAATGCCTAGTCCGCCTCCTCCTCCTCCTCCTCCTCTTCCTCCTCCTCCTCCTCCTCCTCCTCCTCCTCCTCCTCCTCCTCTCCTCCCCCTCCTGCTCCTCTAGAGGAGCAAGAATACGGCATACACGTAATTCCTCGGATGTCCGCGCGGATTTCTTGGATCGGCACTCGACCCAGCTCCCTGGCGGGCGGAGCGCGCCACATGCGACGCCAAAGGCGCCGCCAGAGAGCTCTAGCGCCGATCCAAAAATCCGCGTGGACCTCCAAACAACATCGCTTATGCAGCTGATTTGTTATTCGATCCTCCTCGAATCTCGAAGCTGGCGGCCTTTGATCATCCGAAGCGTCATGCGGGCAAGATTTACATCCATGTGAACTGCGCATTGGACTGTAGTCTCTATGGGAAATATGTTTGTCCACATCCACTGCGCCTCTGGCTTCTGGGGGAGGGAACCCGAAACTCCACGAAGCAGTGGATGTGGATACGCATCTCTCCCCCGTCTGAATTTCCTTCTCAAGTCGGAGCGGCCGGCCCTCTCCTCCCCGGAGGGTGCCGCAGACGGCCGCTGCGGTCTGCGCGACGGGGCGCCTATGACGGAGCTCTCGTCGACCTCGTACCTGGCGTCGAAGGAGTCGTCCTCGTCCGCGACGCTGGTGGGGCACAGGGCCTGGTTGCCCATCCTGCCAGGGATGAAAGATCGACGGGAAACCTTCGGCCTCCGACCTCTCGCTCACTCTTCCGGGGCTGGCAGGCTTCATCCTGCTCCTCCTCCTCCTCCTCCTCCTCCTCCTCCTGATCCTCACCCCTCCTCCTCCTCCTCCTCCTCCTCCTCCTCCTCCTCCTCCTCCTCCTCCTCCTCCTCCTCCTCTGGCTTTCTTCATCCCGAGCCGTTTGCACACTGCCTCGGCACCCCTAAGCCGGCCTCGCGGGGCCGCGGAGCGGCAGAAGGTTAATGAAGCCTGGGAGCGCGGCGGGGGGCCAGGATGAAGCCGAAGCCGCGCCTCCGAGCACTGCCAGGGCAAAGCGCCACGAGTTGGAGGGAGGCTGAGGAGGAGGAGGAGGAGGAGGAGGAGGAGGAAGAGGAGGAGGAGGAGGAAGAGGAGGAGGAGGAAGAGGGGTGAGGATGAGGAGGAGGAAAGAGGAGGAGGAGGAGGAGGAAGAGGAGGAGGAGGGTAGGAGGAAGGAGGAGAGGAGAGGAGGAGGGGAAGGAGGAGGGGTGGGGGATGCATGGCGGGGGCACGCATAAGGTCCCGCATGCAGGGACGGCGTCCCGAGGGCCTGCCCCTGCCGCCGGGCCTCCGGGGCCCCCTCCGCACGGGGCCCATGGGAGCGCCGCACGGCGATCGGCGGAACTGCAGGAGGGACCCTCGGCAGGAGTGACCCTTTCCGACCAGCCATAACTGGGGGAGCTGTGGTCCTTACCCCCCTGGGGGAACCCATCGCATCGACGATCTCTTGAGAGGGGTGTCGAAATCGATGGGTCCCCCAGGGGGGTAAGGACCACAGCTCCCCCAGTTGTGGCTGGCCTGCCTTTGGTGCGCGGCTTTGCTTCGTGTGTGTGGGGCAGGCCCAGACCCAAACGCGCATGCCGCTGCTAGGCGCATCGCGTTCAGCGATCGGGGGCTCCGGTGGGTCCGCACCAGAGGTCGCTCCGGCGAAATGCCACCCTTGCGTGCAGTCGAAGAGGCCCCCGGGGCACAGGACCCGTTTCCCTTAGGACCTGCTTGCTGCTGACGGCGCCCACAAGAGAGGGTGGTGCGAGGTAGGCGGCCTTCTAAGAAAGCAGGGGGGCTTCTAAGAAGGCGGGGGGACATCTTAGAGAACCGCCCGGCTTCTGAGAAGCCTTCTCAGAAGCCTCTGGGGCATTCTGAGACGGCCCCAGGCTTCTGCGGAGGCCCTTCGCCTTGTTAGTAAGGCGCCCCCCCTCGAGCGCCGCCAAAGTTGCATCGCTCGTGACGACGACGACGACGACGACGACGACGACGACGACGACGACGACGACGACGAGCGAGGACGACGACGACGACGAATACGACGACGACGAATACCACGACTACGGCGACGACGACGACGACGACGACGACGACGACGACGACGACGACGACGAAGACCGAAGGCGCGACAATTCTCCCGCGTGCCTCTCCTCCGCTCTGGCCGCCGACGCGGCACCCGCCCCTGGCCCAGCCCAGCCGGCTCGGCGCGCTCGCGGGCCCTCAGGCGGCGGGCGATTGGACCGCGCCGCACATCGTGGCACCTTGGCGTCCTCCCCAGGCTCCTCCTTCTCCTCCTCCATTCTCCCGGGCCCTCGTCCTTCTCGTACCCCCTCCTCCCCATCCTCCTCCTCCTCCTCCTTCTCCTCCTCCTCCTTCTCCTCTTCCTCCTCCTCCTCCTCATCATCCTTATCCTCCTCCTCCTCCTCCTCCTCCTCCTCCTCCTCCGCGTCCCCCCTCGTCCCCCCTTCTCCCCCTCCTCCTCCTTCTCCTCCTCCTCCTCCACCTCCTCATCGTCCCCCGCCTCACTCCTCCGCCTCCTCCTCCTCCCCCTTCTCCTCCTCCTCCTCCTCCTCCTCCTCCTCCTCCTCCTCCTCACTTCCTTTTCCTTATAGGTATCTTCTCCCAGTCGCATCCCGAAGCCAGATGTTAGGGCGGGCCGGGCGTTTCTCCTGAGACTTCCTGACTATCTATGACCATGGAGCTTACACATTGGTAGCAGTTTCACAGATGGAGGGCGGGTGGTTGTCAACATGATGCTCTCGCCTGAGCGACGCGCACATGTTTTCATAAACTTTGCAAGAGTTTCACGGCTTCCCGCGATCAACGTATCAGAAATGGCGTTTTGGAAGGATTCCTGATTTTGCGGGTGCAGCAGTTACGTTGATTCGTGGTGTTGGAATCCCAAGAATGGCGTTCTGGCACGACCCAAGATCGTCAAGACGGAACGGTCAGGTTGATCCGTGGCGTTGGAATCCCGACACCAATGTTTTGGCATGATCCCTCAATGGAAATGAACCGTTGCAGCGGCCTGTGAAGAGGGAGCTTGGAGCGAGGGTGTATTCCAACATCGTTGATGGCTATTGGATTTACACTGGTCCTCCTCCTCCTCCTCCTCCTTCTCCTCCTCCTCCTCACCCTGCTCCCCCTTCTCCTCCTCCTCCTCCACCTCCTCCTCCTCCTTCTCCTCATCCTCCTCCATCCCCTCCTCCCCCTCCTCCTCCTCCTCCTCCTCCTCCTCCTCCTCCTCCTCCTCCTCCTCCTTCTCCTTCTCCTCCTCCTCCTCCTTCTCCTCCTCCTCCTCCTCCTCCTCCCCATCCCCATCCCCATCCCCATTCCCATTCCCCATCCCAAACACCTTCACCATCACAATCATCATCACCAACAACATCACCATCACTCATCCAGAATCGTCAACCTCATCATCACCATCAACATCAGCAGCAGCGTCACCATCAACATCGTCATCATCATCATCATCATCATCATCATCATCATCATCATCATCATCATCATCATCATCATCTTAATCATCATCATCATCATCATCATCATCATCATCATCATCATCATCATCATCATCATCATCATCATCATCATCATCATCATCATCATCATCATCATCATCATCATCATCATCATCATCATCATCATCATCATCATCATCATCATCATCGTCATCGTCATCGTCATCATCATCAGCATCATCCCCCGCATCACCATTATCATGAGCAGCTTCACCATCATCATCATCATCATCATCATCATCATCATCATCATCATCATCATCATAATGACCATCATCATCATCATCAGCATCATCATCATCATCATAATCATCATCGGCATCGTCATCAACACCATCACCATCACCACCACCATCACGATCACCATCACCACCATCATCGTCAGCATCGTCATCGTCATCATCATCATCATCATCATCATCATCATACTCATCCTATTCTTCATCATCCTCATCATCAGCATCGTCACCATCAGTGCCAGCGCCATCACCAGCACGAGCACCACCACCACCACCACCACAATAATAATCATCAGCAGCATCATCATCATCATAATAATAGTAAGCATCATCCTAGTCAGCATCATCAGCAGCATCATTACCATAATCTACAGCATTATTTCCATCATCACTATCGTCATCATCAGCAGCATCACCATCATCATCCTCATCATCATCACCACCATCACCATAACCATGACCATCACCATCATCAACACCATCATCATCGTCCACATCATAATCATTAGCTTCTGTGTCATCATCATGAGCATCATCATTACCAGCGCCAGCGCCAGCGCCAGCACCAGCACCAGCACCACCATCATCATCATCACCATCATCAGCAGCAGCATTAGCATCAGCATCATAATCATAATAAGCATCATCATCATCAGCATCATCATCATCAGCATCATCATCATCATCATCATCGTAATTCATCTCTTTGTCCTCCTTCTCCTCCTCCCCACTGCCATCCTCCTCCTCCTCCTCCTCTTCCTCCACCTCCTGCTGACCCTCCTTGTCTGGAGGAGGAGGAGGAGGAGGAGGAGGAGGAGGAGGAGGAGGAGGATAAGGAGGAGGAGGAGGAGGAGGAGGAGGAGGAGGAGCGGAGGAGATGGAGGATGAGGAGCGGACGAGCTGGAGCAGGAGGGAGGGGGGCGATGAGGAGGCAGGAAGAAGTTGGAGGAAACGAATCCTCAGGATCAGTGAGCCTCGATGAGCTTCTGTGGTTTCGTGCGTTCTCTCCGCCCAGGCCCAGCCGCTCCGCCCAGGCGCAGCGCTCCCCTCCCGCACCCTCCTTCGGCAACCGCCCCACCCTCCACCACTGCACCGCTTGCGACGGGCGCAGGTCAGTGTCAGCTTCAAAGGCAGCTTCCCGACGTTAAATCACCGCGCAGCGTTCAAGTCAAACTGTCCTATCTTCCCCCCCGTGCTCACCCTCGTGTTCTTAATTCCCTTTGCCCTGTCGCCTCCGATCCTTCCGTCCACCTATCCCCTATCCCTTTCCCCGTCCACCGCCTTTCCATTCCTCCGCCTCCTCCCGTAGGCCATACGCCATTGATCTTGACTGGGTATAGATAGCGAGCCCTGTGGGCTGCAGGTCCTCCTTCTCGTCCTCCCCTTCCCCCCGTCTGCCCCCCCGTCTCCTGCAGGACCGGTGCATGCCGCCCCTCCCTGCCGCTTGCGCCCCTCCTTTTGTAAGTATCGTCCACACGATAGCCGGCCTAAACCCCTAAGACCTTACACCCTCAATGTGCAGCAGGCGCGCTGCATCCGATGTCGTGCTTCATGTGTGCGTTAAAAAGAACAGGAAGGTACATGGTGAGATACAGGTGGTGAAAGCTACGTCGCACCATGAACTTCCGACAGTCTTGGCGTCGTCAACTCCACTGCTCGTGCAAACATCCCACCCACCCGCCCACATTCTGCTTGGCAAAACCCATTCGGACAAATTGTGGTTCCTGCCTGGACATTGCTAGCGCGTCTTTATGGCTGCGGTGGCGCGAACGCGCTCGCGCGCAGAGCGGCCAGCTGGACTGGCACAACTGATGCGGCCGAGATGGCGCTTTACCGATGGGGAATTCCACGCGCGCCTCATAGGCCACGCTGGCGCGCGGGCACTTTAGTGCGGGTCGGTGACTCGGGCGGCCGCGATAGCATGCAAGACCAATGACGGCGCCGATTCCAGTGACGCCGACGACGATGATTATGTCCATGTGTCAGTGATGAAGGTGGTTGTGATGACGATGGCAACGATTGCGGCGTGTGGCGATGCCAATAACGGCAGTGATGCGATTGCGCTGATGAGGGTGACGAGGAAGTGCGCGCGCAGACATCCAATACACATGGCAATCTCTGTTGGCACAAGTGGTGAATGTTTCCATTTGTCTCTGTTGGCACAAGTGGTGAATGTTTCCATTTGTATTGGTTGAAGGGCTCTTATCTTCAGACGCTCGCGCGCGTGGCGGCCCACGCATGTGGCACGCATGCTGATATTTGATACGGCGTCCTCCACTGGGCACATGCCGCATGCCAGAGCAACGCGGATGCATCGCGTGGTGAAATTAGAATGCCAGTTTGGGACGAAATTGCTGGAAACAGCTTGTTGTCCGATGATTTCAATCTGCGCGCGCGGTCAGGAAGTCTCTTCTGCAAGATTTGCGAACACAGCCAAATTAGTTTCGAAGGTTCGGTTTGTTTGATTTTTTGCTGAACTCGTATATGTGGTATGATTTCGCCATGTACGCACGTGAACCTTGTGGTAGCTGTTGCAGGGGATTCTTGGACAATTTGCGTTCTGACATCAAAGAGTGCGCGCGAGTGGAGTAATACAACGGGGATGACGGAGAGCGTCGATACTGGCCTGGCTGGGATGGTGTGAGCGCGTATGGGAAATGAGCGGTGATGCAAGACCACAATTAAATTGCAATACCCAGGGAACGGTTAGCCCCGGGCCCTGGGGGGTGGTCCGAAATATTTCCCCTAAAAAGAACGAATGAATCTGGTGAGATAGATGTGGTGCGAGAAATGTGGTCAAGTATGTGTGGTTCTATCGCTGTGGTAATTGAACTGCATTGCGTGCGATGCCATGCCGAAATCAATGTGTTGCATAAGCGATGTGGTGCTAGCTATGCGATGCAAGATATGCAATATGGTGCGAGCTACGCGGTGCACCCAGCGCGCGGGGCGCTACTAACCCAATTTAGGAAAGCACTGATCCAGACTAGGCCGGATTGCGCCCCGGATCAAGCAACACCAAGCTGGAATAAGCTGGATTGCACGGGTCTGCGAAGGTCATGAGCAACAGGGGTCAATTCTTTGACGAGGGATGTGCCAACGCCGATTCTGACCTCCCTGGAGCATCCTAAGCGGCGCCCCCACCCTCCTCGGCAAGAGGTTCGCTTCTTCAGTCTGCCCACGGACCGGTCGACGGTGGGCGGCAAGCCACGCGCGAGCCAATCCTGAACAGGTCGGGAGTGCGAGTCTCGACGAGACTCTCGGCAGGCATCGTGCCGACCGAGAGAAAAGTTGAATGACATTTCCTGACAATATAGGGATAATCTCATGCCTGTGTAGTTACTGCACCAACCGTGCCGGAGGACGCGTCAACCGTGGGATGGGCGTGGCATCGGTCAGCATGTCTTCCTTGCCTTTCTTGGGGATGTTGAGGCCCAGGGCGCACCTCGCGTCGTGCCGATCTCAGACCAGCGCCGGACCGAGCTGCGGCGCGGAGGCACCACCACCCAGGACATCATCAAGAGGAGGGGCCAGCTGCAGCGGAGGAGCCGGCCGGCCGGCGGCGGCCCATCGCCGCCCGGCCTCGTCCCCCTTCACTCCCCCTTCCTCCTCCTCCTCCTCCTCCTCCTCCTCCTCCTCCTCCTCCTCCTCCTCCTCCTCCTCCCGCGGGCACGCGGCGCCCTCCTCGCGCCCTGCTCGCGGCGGTCGGCAGTCCGCTGGCCAGGCCGTCTCGTCGTCGTCGTCGTCGTCGTCGTCGTCGTCCTTGTCCTCCTCCCCCTTGTCGCCGCCGGCGAGGATGCCCCTCCCCCGCCCGCGACCCGACATGGGACTGGCTTCGCGCTGTCCCTCACCCGGGCCACGCTTGGAGGGGAGGAGGGAAACTGCCCACAGCGAGGCGGGCCCAAATCACTGGCCGCGCATTGCCAGGCCTGGGATGCTGCCGTCCATGCTTCTGGAGACTCACCTTTGGGCGAAGCCCCATTCCTCCACAGACAAGGCCCCAGACCACGTCACGAAAAGAGCCGACCCAATGCGACCCATGGACCTGGGACGGGATCCAGTCACGGTCGGACCGGGAGGAAACTGCAACGCCCCCGCCTAAACTTGCAGCGCCACTGGGCCTCCTCGGCCTGATGCTGCGTCAGAGCACGAAGCTGTTCGATCTAGTGCTCTTTTCTGCTGAGCCGTTCTAGTCTCGACCTCTTCGAGCCGATGTCCCGTGGCAGGGGCTCCACGCACGGCTGAGGCTTGCTGAACCAAGTCGACTGAGACAGCCAAGAACAAACACAAGGACGAAAGAGGTCCCGCTGCCAACCGTTGGGCTGCCAACCTAAGCCGCCCTCTTCCGCTAGGCAAAGAAGGTATGGACCATCTGGGCCCCCTCCTCTGCAGCTCTGACTGCGCCGACCCGCATTATACTCGGAGCACCAAGGTTTGCCCCAAGGCGGCTCGAACGCAGCCCTACGAACGACCCAACAAGGGCCCGCTGATGAGCCTGGGCAGATCGAGAGAAACAAACGGGGTGTGTCCTTAACGGCTCAGCTCCCTGCTTTTCTTGCTGACAGTTTGCCACTGACTCACCCATGCGCAATTGTGAATACCGCGTTGTGGTCACCGCTTTCGGTGGACCTCCCGGTGGGGCCACGAACCGAGTGAGGGGTGTGCCAAAATGCGCGTCGGGCGCATGCGGCCTGTGCCAGTGGGGCATTCGGTGGAGCTCCTTGTGGGGCCACGGGACGTGTGAAAGGTGCGCCGAAATGGGTGGCGTTGACGATGCGGACCCTGCCGCTGGTGCATTCGGTGGAGCTCCTGTGGGGCCACAAACCGTGTGAGGGGTGTGCCGAACTGAGTGGCGTTGACGCACGCGGACCCTGCCACTGGAGCCTTCGGTGGACCTCCCTGAGGGGCCACGAGCCGTGAAAGGGATGTACCAAAATGGGTGGCGGTCCCCGCATGCGGACCCTGCCACTGGGGCCTTCGATGGAGCTCCCTGTGCGTCCACAAACCGTGTGAAGGGTGTACCTAAATGAATGGCGGTTCCCGCATGCGGACCCTGCCACTGGAACCTTCGGTGGGGCTTCCTGTAGGGCCACGAACCGTGTGAGGGGTGTGCCTGCATGGGTGGCGGTCCCCGCTTGCGGACCCTGCCGCTGGGGCCTTCGGTGGAGCTCCCCGTGGGGCCACGAGACGTGTGAAAAGTGCACCAAAATGGGTGGCGGTCACCGCATGCGGACCCTGCCGCTGGGGCGTTCGATGGAACCCCCTGTGGGTCCACAAACCGTGTGAAGGGTGTACCTAAATGAATGGCGGTCCCCGCATGCGGACCCTGCCACTGGAACCTTCGGTGGGGCTTCCTGTAGGGCCACGAAACCTTGTGAATGGTGTGCCGTGTGCCAAAATGGGTGGCGGTCCCCGCATGCGGACCCTGCCACTGGAGCCTTCGGGTGGAACTCCCTGTGGGGCCACGAACCGTGTGAAGGGTGTACCAAAACGGGAAGTGGTCCCCGCATGCGGGCCCTGCCGCTGGAGCCTTCGGTGGAGCTCCCTGTGGGGCCACGAACCGTGTGAGGGGTGTGCCGAAATGAATGGCGGTCCCCGCATGCGGACCCTGCCACTGGAACCTTCGGTGGAGCTCCCTGTGGGGCGACGATCCTCGTGAGGGGTGTGCCAAAGTGGGTGGCGGTCGGTCCCCGCATGCGGACCCTGCCGCTGGGGCCTTCGGTGGAGCCCCCTATGGGGCCACGAACCGTACGAAGGGCGTGCCAGAATGAGATGGGCATGCGGAGAGCAGAGGCAAGGGGTGGGAGGAGGGGGGGGGATCGATGGGGGCAGCGGGAAGGAAGGACGGAACGTGGGGCGAAGACGAGGACCCATCACCACAGGATGGCTGGGAACAAAGTCCAGGCGGACGATGACAGGTTGGCGAAGGTCCTGTGTGCCACCGAGGCTGGGCAAAGTCAACGCACCATTCCATCCAAGCCTCTTGGTGTTCTTGCGCCTCTCCTCTGAGGCCCCAGAGCCATCCGCTGCCCGAGGGTGCCATCTGTTAAGAAAAGCTGGTGCCTGACCACGGCTGGTCTCGGTGGGGCCGGCAGCAGTGATCCTGATGGTGGTCTGTACGTGAAGGACTGGGCCCACCATCTTCCTTTGCCACCACGTCTCTGGTTGCTGCGATGATCTCCTTGATCCTTCTCCGTCGGGATCGGGATCTGGATCGATCTTGGCCCCTGCCTCGACCTGGTCAGCTGGTGGCCCAGCTGGAGCAGGCATGCCAGTAAGTGGAGCACTGCCGCTGCCACTGCCTTCCACTGCACCCTGCGAGGGTGCCGCTTGTTGTGGCCCTTTATCTTTGCGGGGTCGTTTTGCGGCCAACCGTTGTCGCATGCCCCGCGCCTGCTACCAAAAAGCTCGGATGGTGCCCGCCGCGGGGCCGATGGCGCCGACGATGGCTTTTGGCTTACTTCCCAACCTGCACTGTGAGCTCATCCCGCTTTGACTTTTCTGACTCGTCGAAGCCCGTGATGTCCAGTATGTCGCCGTCAATAAGCTCGACTGCTCCTCGGCGAACAACGGTGGACAGGTTGACAGGTGTTGCCGGAACCTGGCGGGGAAACGCGCCCTGTTTATCCCTGTTGCCTTGAACAATTCCAGCTTGAGCTCGTTCTGCCAAAGTGCCTTCGCAAAGTATGCTGCCACGCCGTCTCTTTGGCAGTACCCTTGCACTCTGCCAACCACAACGCTGCCTCATCCTGTTTCGCATCGCAGATGTCGAGATGTGCCTGCGCCCCTGCTACAAGCAACTCCCGCGGCTGGTATGGTGGCGTCGAGCAATTATCTCTGCGGACGCGGGGCAAGGTTCTGCACACAGGGGCTCTCCGGGGCATTGAACTCTGCTGCCCCCCGGTCACCCCACCTCCCCTTGAGCTGCTCCAGCAGGTTCGCCTGGGAAGGGTAGAACCATTCTGCGTCGGGGCAGCTCTGGGAGGTGGCGTGAACGTCTTTGGTGGAGCACCTCGGCCTGGTGCTGGCGGCGTTCGGGGAGACCTGCCACCAATTGCGCCTTTTCCTCGGGCCCAGACACCTTGGGCTGGGGCCGACCTTCAGGGCTTTTCCTGGGGCACCAAGGTTGCGTTGCAACTGTTGCAGAAAGTCCTTGTTTCCCAATTCCACGTGTGCCTGCACGCTGCGCATGCGAGAAAGCCCTTAGCACCTTTGCCCATGGGCTCCAACAGGAGTTTGCACAGCGATCAAAGTGCTCTCCGCACAGGGTCCTAGATGCAGTAACAATGGCCCAAATATGGCTCTATGTGATGGCCCTGGGAAAATGGCCTTCCAAGGATGGCTGGCGGGGCTACGGCCAACTCCTCCTCCTCCTTCTCCTCCTCCTCCTCCTCCTCCTCCTCCTCCTCCTCCTCCTCCTCCTCCTCCTCCTCCTCCTCCTCCTCCTCTTATGGGGAAGCCAAAACGTACCGGTACAGCCACTCCAAGGACCTCTCCCGGGGCGCGTTCTGACCAGACTTCGAAGCGAATCCAGCGGTTGCGAAGAGGGCCTCCCAGGAAACCCCCCAAAAGGAAAACGAAGGAAAGTTACCGCGACGGGTACCTCTTGCCTGCTCTGCTCCTCCACCTCCTCCTGCTCCTCATCGTACTCATCCTCCTCTTCCTCCTCCTCCTCACTCCTCATCCTCCTCCTCCTCCTCCTCCTCCTCCTCCTCCTCCTCATCCTCCTCGCTCCTCGCTCCTCGCTCCTCCTCTCGTCGTCCTCCTCCTCCTCCCCATCCTTCTCCTCGCTCCTCCTCCTCCTCCCCTCCTCCTCCTCCTCGCTCCTCCTCCTCCTCCTCCTCCTCCTCCTACCTCCTCCTCATCATCATCATCATCATCATCATCATCATCATCCACATCAGCATCAGCATCAGCATCAGCATCATCATCATCATCATCATCATCATCATCATCATCATCATCATCATCATCATCATCATCATCATCATCATCATCTCCTCCTCCGCCTCCTCCTCCGCCTCCTCCTCCTCCTCCTCCTCCTCCTCCTCTCCTCCTCCTCCTCCTCCTCCGCTTCCCACGGGAGGGGACGCTGAGCGCCGAGCTCGCGGCCGGCGCCCTGTTCGAGTCGCCAGCGGGGGGCGCGCGCGCGCACAGGCGCGCGCGACGGGGGGCCGCGCCCGACGCTCGGGCCGTGGAATAGGAGGAGGAGGAGGAGGAGGAGGAGGAGGAGGAGGAGGAGGAGGAGGAGGAGGAGGAGGAGGAGGAGGTGGAAGAAGGAGGAGGAGGAGGAGGAGGAGGAGGAGGAGGAGGAGGGAGGAGGAGGAGGAGGAGGAGGAGGAGGAGGAGGAGAGGAGGAGGAGGAGGAGGAGGAGAAGGAGGAGAGGAGGAGGAGGGGGGAAGGAGACGAGGAGGAGGAGGAGGCGGAGGAGGGTGAGGAGGAGGAGGAGGAGGAGGAGGAGGAGGGAGGAGGAGGAGGCGGTGAGGAGGAGGAGGAGGAGGAGGAGGAGGAGGAGGAGGAGGAGGCGGTCAAGAGGACGACAGGGGCAAGTGTCAATGGTCGCGAAGCAAGGAGGCGAGGGCGGGCCTGCGACGGACAAGCTGCTTGGGGCAGCAGCGGGCCGCAGCAGCCAGGCTTCTGCCATGGAGCCTTCCCGAACGCCTGCGCGAAGGATGGTCCTGATCTTGAGCAAGGTCTGGGCAGATGTTGCAGCCGCAGTGCTCAGAGGATTGAGATTGCTAGGCCGTGCGGCCCGCCCTCTGTGGCGAGCTTGAGTCACCTCCGCCGTCCGAGAAAGGGTCAGCATCCTGATGGAGATCAGGCTGCTGCTGACATGGATGAGTGCATCCCACTGCTGTAAGTGCATGTTGAATTCTGTGTGCCTGTCTGCGCCCCGAGCTGGACCGTGCACTGTTGGAGGCATGGGAGTTGCTGCCAAAAGCAAAAGCACTTTGCTACTCGGCCATTCGTGAATGCGACTGGTTGTGGTGTGCTGGCGTGTCCAAGCCTGTCGGTGGGCCTCCGTCCAGTTCGGCGGCGCGCGACGACCTGTGCGCTAAAGGACCGTTATCCCTTGCTGTTGCATGTCACCATTGTCGGGGATGCCCTTGTTGAGGAGGCAACGGAGCCAGAAGGTTGCGGGGCCATAGAGAGGCCTCAGCGTCACCTAAGCCTCTCTAGAGAGCAAGAGGAGGGACGATCAGCAATCGTGTGAGCACGGCCACGGACACGGCTCGAGACAAGGCGGTCGCGCGCCCCCAAGAAGTCGCACCCAGGAGGAGGTGGTGGCTGAGGACGGGGTGGAGGCGGGTGCTGAAGTCCGCTCCAAAGAGGGGGGAGCAAGGGGGGACGAGGAGGAGGAGGAGGAAGAGGAGGAGGAGGATAAAGACGACGACAATGACGAGGACATGACACAGGAAATGGGAAGAACGTGAGAACCTTCGGCCTGGCAGGGCGAACTGGCGCGGGAGGCGGCAACGCAAAGCGCAAGACAGTGGTGTTCGCGTCCGCGCCCAGAAGCTGCCAACGGGAGGAGGACAAGGAAAGCATTTACTGATTCGGCGTTTCCACATTGGGCCGAAGGGGGGGGGGAGGGGGGGGTTCTGGCTCCGGACCTCTGCTTAGTGCGACTGTTTGCGGCGAAACGCGCGCCAAAAGCAGCCAAGATCCACCCCATGGGGGTGGAGGGGGAGGGGGGGGTACGAGGGCCATGCGCCGATCGGCAAAACAGTGACTGAGAAAACGACAACAAAAAGGACGACGGGAAAACGGGGGAGGAGGACCCGGACTTGGAGGCGCCACGAAGCACTCAGGGCGTGTGTGTGTGTGTGTGTGTGTGTCTGTGTGCGTGTGTGTGTGCGTGTGCGTGTGCGTGTGCGTGTGCGTGTGCGTGTGCGTGTGCGTGTGCGTGTGCGTGTGCGTGTGCGTGTGCGTGTGCGTGTGCGTGTGCGTGTGCGTGTGCGTGTGCGTGTGCGTGTGCGTGTGCGCGTGTGTGCGTGTGTGCGAGTGTGCGAGTGTGTGAGTGTGTGAGTGTGTGTGTGTGTGTGTCTGCGACCCCGTTCTCGCCCACGGTGGTCAATTCACGTCGACGCCGCCTGCTTCTGTGCTGCTCCACCCGCCTACTGAAGCCCACTTGGCGTGCCAGGGGAAAAATGTGTATGTGTGCGTGTGTGTCTTTCCGCCAGCGCAATTACTATGCCTAGCGGCCGACGCAAAATGCGTGTGTGTGAATGTGAATGTGAATGTGAATGTGAATGTGAATGTGAATGTGAATGTGAATGTGAATGTGAATGTGAATGTGAATGTGAATGTGAGTGTGTGTGTGGGTGCGCGTGATTCGCTTCGTGTTTCTTGACCTGGCTGGCCCCTTGACCCGTGAGTCCACGGCGTCGGTGGAAGGGCTCGGCCGCCACGCGTGCGCTTGCAGTGTATGCGCCCGCGCGGCCCGCGTGCGTCCGACCGCCCGTTCCAGTTGCCGCGCCATCGTTGAAGCGGGGGAGGAGACACATCTTTTGTTACACCCCTGGGCCAGACCGCCTCCCAACTGTAGCCTGAGAATCTGCCACCCCGTTCCCGCGACAGCACCATAGATGAGGCACCAGGCCACGAGACCCGGACCAGGAACGGATTGGAGCCCACCCGCACCCCTGGAGGAGGGGGCACACTGTGCATGCGCGCCAGGCTTGGTCCACTCTGCCTGCCTTTTTTTTGTTGTCGCCGTTTCGTCTCCGCTCCAATGCGTCACTAGCCACGGGGCCTCAACCGCCACCCCCACTGCTCCGGAACCGGGTACTGCGAGGGCATGGTCCACTCTGCCTGCCTTGTCTCTGTCGGATCTCCCTCAACGGGGACTTGGCTGAACCAGGACGTCGCTGCGCCCCGGACAGCTGCAGCCGTGGGACGAGGCACTCCCCAACGCCTGAACCACCGCGGCGTCTGCGAAGTGGACGGGGGCTTCATAAGTGGATGCGGGCGTGAATCGTATCTGGCCTCGCCTGGCCCGGAAGTGGGCTACGAGTGCCCTCATTGGCTTGGGTGGGGTCGACATCTCCGCCAAGTGGGCGGAGCCAACTCCGCCGGGATTAGACTCTATTCCCCCCACCCCCAGCCGCTGAGGGCAGATCTTACCCACGCGTGAGCTGGTTAGGCACGATATGGCCCACTTTTGGCGTCCGCATTGAACTGCCCTCAGAGAAACCAAGAGGTACCGATACCGCCACTCCCCGGATCTCTCCCGGGCTGCGTTCTGACTGGAGTCTCGAAGCGAATCCTGCGGTGGAGCCGAGGCCCTCCCAGGAGGCCCCCCAAGATCGAAAACGAGGCACGGGCAGCGGCATGGGTACCTTTTCCTCCTCTGGCATGTCCATCGGGGATGAACAGACCCCCCTTTAGCAAAACGTGGTTTAGTGAAAACGACCTGAGGCCCAAACCTGGCGGGCGCAAGCCTGGAAAATAACGGCCACGGCGCCCTCTCGAGAACCGAAAACGGACAATTCACTAATCGACGTGTCACTGTTGGGGCTTCTGTCCACCCCCGAGTCCACTCAGCAGCCACCGCGGCGATCCAAGCATCCGCTCGCCAGGAGCGGAACTGTCAAGGCCGGCGAGAGCAGCGTCCTGGCTGACGCCCGAGGAGGAGGGGAAGGAGGAGGAGGAGGAGGAGGAGGAGGCGGAGGAGGAGGAGGAGGAGGGAGGTGGAGGAGGAGGAGGAGGGGGGTGAAGTCGGCGGCAGAGGAGAAGCAGGAGGGACGGCGGCGGGGCACGGGCGCGGCCGCGCAGGTCGGCGAATCCTTCGCCGCATCCTGCTTCTTGAGCCAAGCAACCCACTGGTCCTTGCGCGAGGGCGTCGAGGAGGAAGTGGAAGAGGGAGGGGACGGGGGAGCGAGACACAGAGAGAGAGAGAGAGAGAGAGAGAAAAAAAAAGAAAGATAAAGAGAGATAGAGGCAAGCAGACGAAGAGAGAAAGAGAGAGAGAGCAAAAGAGAGAGAGAGAGAGAGAGAAAGAGAGAGGCGGCCAGAGATAACCTCGTGTCGGCGACACAGCGCCAACAAAGGAGCGAGGCACTTGCAGGCGCGAGTGGCAGTGACAATTGCAAGCCTTTCTTCCCACGACTCCTATTCATGCTACTGGCTCGGCACCGTCCTCCTCCTGCTCCAACGCCCCTCCCTCTCTCCTTTCCTTCCCCTCATGCGACCCTTCCGCATGCCCACTGGTCCTCGCCTTCCTCTCCTGTTCGCGCCCAGTCCTCCTCCTCCTCCTCCTCCTCCTGCTGACCTCCTCCTCGTCCTCGTCTTCCTCCTTCTGACCTCTTCTTCGTCACGGCTGGCCAGGACCTCGGAGGAGATCCGCCACTCGACTGCGCCCATGTTGGGGTGTCGCAGGGCTCTCTGGCGCGTGTGCGGGCCGCCTCGCTGCTCTTCCCCGTCCTGTAACGAGATCGCTTGGAAATGCTGGAAATATACACCAAGGCGTCTGGTCGATCAAGGATCGGCGGCGAGAGGGGGGGAAAGTGAGAAGGAGAAGGCCCTGTCAGAAGGTGGCGGGACTTCTCAGAAGCCCGCCGCCCTTATGAGAAAAATTCTAAGTCTTCGGTCGCACAGAGAAGCCCCCCAAGTCGAATATACACCAAGTCGTCTGGTCGACCAAGGAAGCCCCCTGGAGGCCCCCACGAGGCCCCAAAAAGCCTTCCAGATTCTCCATGAGGCCCCAGAGAAGCATCCCAAGAGACCCTCGGCCTCATCCAGGAGGTTCCTGGCCAACTGACCCGAGATATAACTTCCACGACCGTCTCAAAAACTCAGTCCTTGTTGGGGTCGGCGGAATGGCGTAAGCCACTTAAATATACACCAAGTCGTCTGGTCGACCAAGGAGCTTGGTGTATGCACGCCTCAGCTTCCCAGATTTGAGGACGCTGGAGCGATGTACTCTGAACTCCTTCGCCGAACTCGTTGGATCCCTGACCGGCCAAACGAGGCTGTGTAAACGTCGAGCCCCTTCAAATCACGGCACGGCAACAGGAAGCGAAAGACATCGGAAACACCACAACAAAAAGGCTGACGTGCGGGCGGCACCCGACCAATGCCGGAAAAACCACGAGCGCGACCCGGCCGACATTTGCGCTGCCAGCGCGGCTGTTGCTGCGCGCGCGGGCACGGCGCGCGTGATTCCTGCAGAGAGATG